ATACAAGAAACATCAGAGATGTGTAATCCAAGTACACATTCAAATATGAAAACATCTGTATTTGTATGAATGCTGATTCCTTTTTGTATCCAAAATTGTCTTCACTCTCTGATCAAGGTGCTCTGCTGAAACATGGACTTCCTAGTTAGTGTGAAGGCATTTTTTGGTGTAGAGTGTCTTAGTTTCTTCTTTGTTGTGATTTCTGCTATACATCCTACTGTGCAGGATGATCCTCATAGCCCACAGTTACTCCCTGGATCCAGTCTGCATTTGCCTTGTGTAATGAAAATAGATTGTACTTTGTGTTTGGGCAGATATGCCCACTTTTCTGAATATCCACCCCACTCCCTTGTTTTCAGGGATCCAGTTCTGCCTCCCCTCCACCTGCAGCATTGATCGGACTCCCCAGCAAACCCCAGGTAAACCTGCCACCTGGGGAATCCTCCACTGCTCCATTTAAATGTCGCTGTTAAGCACTTGCTTAAATAATGTTGAGTAGCTGCAGTTAATCACACATTCACAGCCAAAGAAAGCAAATGGAGGCTTCAACAGAAGCCACTATGAATAATGCACTACAAGTTACCATGAAGTGAACAAGCAGTGATACTCTAACTTGCAATTAGTGGTTTATTGAATAAAAAATTAGCAATTCACGCAAAAAAGACCTGTCTCTCTGTATCTATGTCCTCCCCTTATGTTCTTTTACCACAGTTATCAGTTATTTCTTCATGCAGTTCTTGATCTTATAGCAGCTAGATTAACTGGAGGTTGCAGTTGCTCCAGTGCGCCTCCACTGTGCCCCTACTCTAAACCATCCTCCTTTGTTTAAGAAAGACTTTAGTTATGACAGAGCTCAATTGTTAAAGTGCTTTCTCTGCTGCCGCTTGACATATTTATGATAGCGTCGCTTTCTGAAACCTGCCTCCAAACATCTCTCCATCCCAAAGTCTGCAATATGACATGAAAGCACAAACCCATACACACACACACACACCATCCTTTGGATGTTTCTATTATTAGCCCCCGTTGTGCATTTTAGTGATCCATCTAGTCGACAAAAGGCCGATTTGTTTTCATGAAGGGTGAGGTTAAGACCATGCTGACATGCATCTAACTGGTGACATGCAGATGCTATTCAGTGTGCCACCAGGAGTAACAGCAGGAGTGTCTCTATTACTGACTGCAGCAGCCATTAGTGAAAGACGGACTCTGCAGTGTGACTTAGGCGAGCAAAAGAACGTCCTTGATCCACAGATCATAAAGATTTTCTGCCACAGGGGTGTTTTGTTTGTTGTAAACAGTACTTTTGGGCTTAGTGATTCATCCCAATGCTCAAGAAATCTTTACATTAAACTTTTGCAAACATCCAGGTTCAGTTAAGTAAGTCTTAGTAATGACTCACCTAGACTTGTTTTTGTAATCTATTTATTGCTATTTTACATTAATTCCTTTATTGTTTCTGTCTGCAACACTCGTGACAGTGCCAATAATGGAGTTCACCATCCATCTTCCTTCTCCAGATCATTTACATATCCTTAAAAGCCTGCTGCAAAACAAACTGCTGCATTTCCCTTACAGTGATAAATCCAATCGGGAAGAAAGACTCTTAACGACGTGTCACTCAACTCCCCCCTACCCCACCCCCATGTTAGCATACAAGCCAGTCCTGATAGATAGAGAGGTCCTAACAGAGATGGAGTGGTTGAATCACTGCCTTTGTGTCTCACGTTGATCAGCCTCACTGGCACAGTGGTAGTTGTTTGTACGCATGTGTATGTGTATGTGTGTGTATGTGAGAGAGAGAAATTACACTGAATACTTTTAGCTGCTTCTAAAGATACCTCCATCTTCGACCTCTTTCAAACTGTACTCACTGTACATACTGTTTCTTGAAACCTCACCTGCATCCAAGGGAACATTTTGTTCATCTTGCTGTAAGAATATACACCATTTGAGCACTATATTATTTCTCAAACTTTTTCTGTGGTGCCTCTTTGGAAGCCAAAGAATATCTAAATCTACGTTCTCATCACGTAACTTAGTTATAGTCACTCCCCACTCCTCCCTGCGTTTAGCTTGGTGTTTCTTTGTGGTAAACAGAAGACGCCAAATATCAAAGCTGTATGTATTCCACATTGACACTATCTATTCCAGCTGTCTGAATTGAATTAAGCTTTGTCACAATTCGACTTAGGTGTGTGTGTGAGAGTGTGCTTTTGTTGTGTGTTGTGTGCTTGACTGATACGAATTCCTTGCCAAATTTGCAACTCATTAAATTACCATACTGTATCAAGTAGCACATGCCTGGTCCAGCCTTGATTGACCATTTCACTACTTTGCTAACAGTCTGGCATGGTGAAATGAGTGAGTGAGTGAATGAGTGAGTGAGCGAGCACTGGCTGTGTTCACCTCAGATGAAATCTAAATGCTGAGTAATACTGCCACTGCCAAGATGGGAGCAAGAATTATGACTCCCCTTTGCACGACTGGCTGGCTAATAATGGCTCTATTTTGGTCCTCCTGCTGAATCATGCCCCCTGAATGGGTCATCTCTTTCCTCCCTTGATCTCTCCTCGCTCCCTGATTTATCCTTGCTCTCTATCTCACACACACACTCACCCTCTCTTCCTGTCTGCACAGATCCACTCTCCTCTCTTACCTCTACATTTCTTTTTTTCCACCAATCTTCCTTGTTCCTCAGTAATGCATCTCTTCATCCATGAGAAGTTAATTTTGTGAATGGACAGCAGCATGACTCATTAAGCCGCCAGAGCTTAACGCTCTTCATAGACCAGACGTCTCTAGCTATTTATAAACACAGCCAAAATATGGGTGAGAAAGAGGCCAAAAGGTATTTGAGCAGGTTTGAGGTGAAGCCCTGGGTTTTAGTCTTACCATAAATTATGCTCTTTCTCTAAAAGGTTGCAAACAAAAAGAAAATCTTTCCCTTGTTGCAGACAACAATGTGTTTGTTCTGTAATTTTGTAGCTCAGGCTACATTGTAATTAGGGTGAAATGCTATTAATTCTACATCACAACTTTTGGAGGCCTGCGTGGGGTGTGCAGCTCATTAGAACTCAAAATAGATCAGATTCTGGTCTCATAAGGACTCCCTTAATTGCTTTGTGTGATGTAAGCATTTGTAAGACTGAAACAGAAACACAGAGTTCAACACAGTTTGCCTCTTTGTCAAGGAAAACGATAACCCATAACTTAACCTGCAGCGTGACTCAGTATTCTTCCTCTTTGCCTTCTTTCTTTCTTCTGTTCTTGGCTCTAAGGTACCTGGCAGTCTCTCAGCTTTGATCAAAACGCACTAAACACAGCTTGTGCTTCAGATGTTCTAGCCTGTAACTACACTGAGTGAGCGGTTCTCTCAAAGCCCTGCTTGAAAATAAAGACACGTCAAAGCATAGAAGGCGTTCATGACCCGTTCCTCAGTCCATCTCTCTGTGGATTAAGTCCATATTCTCATTTGCACTTGAAAGAACGTAATCCCCCGCTTTCTGTCATGAAATGGACAGAATAAGAAGATGAGAGTTGTCAGGCTTCCTTGAGCTGTACCTCCTCGCTAGGATCCTCCACACATGAGTACCGTTGATTACCTCTCTTGATCCATGTCTGATGAGTGTCTCCTGTCACAGAGGCTTTGATGTTCCCTGTTACTCTATTGATTTATTTTTAATTTAAAGAATATATATGTATAACCTTTAAATGGTGCCTGCACTTGCAACCATTTTCTCCCTTATCTGAGCACTGAACGTGGACAAAAGAGGAGGAAAAAGGTTTCTGCTCTGGTAGAGAGGCAAACACGCCTCTTGAACAGGAGCCAGGAACTCAGATCGATAAGATGATCAGCAACAACAGAAAAGTACAAACAGAGAACCCATCTCACAAAGTTTCCCGATGCTTAGACATCTTTAGCAACCAGCTACATTTATCAAGTTGTAAAACAAATCCTGTTTCTGCCTAATGTCCCATCATAATTGACATGATATATTAGCTCACCACTTCTGCTAATTAGGTCATTAAGTCATAAAAGTAAGTTAATTATGTGATAATAATGATCGTTAATACATTGGAAAACACTTGCCTTAATCAGCTTGTTGTCGTGTAACAAATGGGTAGGAATATATGTTGTCATATATGCATAATGTTGCTGCCATACTTTGACCTTGAGATGTTGATTCATGCACATACTACAAGCAGACTTAGAACAGTCTGGTGTGACCAAGTAGCATCATCATCTGTCTAAGACTAGAGCAGGTTTATTACAAATTGATCAGTCACTACTAATTATAATCAGGAATCAGGAGGTTAGAGGGATAGATGATAGATGTTTCAAAGAAAGGTGAAATTCTACATTTTTATTTTTGTCAACAGATCCCACGAAAAGACAAGTATTTTCTGTGTTGTTGTCGAAAAACAATTTTTAAAAAAACACAACAGTGAATCACACTGTTGCACTAGATGACATGTTCCTTCCTTACATTACATTGATTTCACATACACCGTCCGGCTCTAAATGTGTATTAATTCGCATATGGAAATAGTCCCCCACAAATTCACAATTTACTCCTGTTTAAATAAGATATGCTTGAAACGAAGAGTGCCCACCTGTTTAAGGGAATTATTGTTGCATTGTTGGTTTTGGTCTTAATTAATCATTGTTGGCAATAATAATGACACACTAGTGTGGTTTGAGGAGGTTCAGAATGGGGCATGCTGCCAATGTTATTTTAATCTTTGTAACAGAATTTCTAAAGGATGATGTCAAAAACTAGGTAATATTAATGAATTTCCATGGATTTCCTTATTTACAGGATATACTCTGGTTTTCAGTAGATGAAAGTCTTTAATTGTTGAATATTTACTATATTTAATATTTGTTGAATACAGACTGAAGTTATATTGTTGAAACATAGTGTTGACCTTTAATGATTTAATCACAAAATAATATTATTATTATATAAATAATTATGTCTCTCCACCTTTTCTAGCCATCACCTACACACCCAACTACAAGAAGACCCCTCCTCCGGTCCCGCCCCGTACCACCTCCAAACCCCTCATCTCCATCACGGCCCAGAGCAGCACCGAATCCACCCAGGACGCCTATCACGAGGGAAGGCACCCTCATGGTGGAATGTGGGCCCCTGACGGCCTCAGCCTGGGGCTGGGCCCAAGCAGGGCCCTCTATAACTCCACTGACAGCCTGGACAGCACCAAGGCTGTGACCATAGCCATGGAGGCGGCTGGGGTCATGGCTGGAAAAAGACACCCGTCCACAGACAGCCACAGCTCGGTGCTCACCTGCGATAAGGCCATCCTGGTGTCCAAGGCTGAGGAGTATTTGAAGACACCTCGATCCTCTATAGGGATACAGGTCAGTCCTGTCTCACATAGGAAGAATGAGTACTAAAATTCTTACATTTCGCTCACACATACATTCAACTCAGAAACAGCGCTCTCTTTCAAGCAGCTAAAAATAGAAAGAGTGAGTCATCTTACCGCAATCCATCAATTAAGATTCAACTCGTGCTGGAGCAGGTTTTAGTGAATGGTAGTTCACGCCATGGTTCATTCACTCCCTCTCCACTTACTGTATCATTCCTCTTTCGCTCCAGTCTCACAGTCTTCAGGCTCCTTCTCTCCTTCTCTCTCTTTCTCTGCCTTCTTCTTTTTTCTTTCCTTGTCTCTCCCCACCTCCTACTCTGTGTGATCTTATCGTGGATTTGTTGGCCCCATTCTCTGACACTGGCTGAGGTTCTGGTGTTGTCGATCTCCAGTTGCAGTCGAAAGGTTGCAGGTCTGCTGCAGAACAAAGAGTGAAGGCTGTGTGGCAGCTCACACCACATCACCTCATATCCATTTATAGAGTTTTATCACAGCAGAATATCAAAGTCACTGAGGACTTTGAGAATTTGAAAGTCGTTGTCGGTATTTTCTCTTGTTCTGTGCGTAGGGAGCAGTAATCTTGGTTCATAATATTCAGCTTTCAACTCCTCTGTATCATCATTACCCCCTGGTCCACATTTACTTTCTTCCATTAGTCTTTCCCCCATCTATTTAGTATTTTATGCCATTTACTCAATTTTTATTCTCTTTCCCACACATAAATCCATAAATTCACAAACTCACTCTCTTGTCTGCTGACTGTCCAATTTGCAAAGTCTAGGGCAAAGCTGAACTTGACAACCTTTCAAATATTTGAAGAAGAAAAAAATAGCAGACCACTTCATTAATCTCATTCTGGAGGTGTTTGAATGTCGTTGGGTGCTGTTCAAGTTTCTTGTAAAAATAAGTCAAGCACACCTTAAAGGGTAATTGCTGTGGGTTTTTTCAGGTGATATTAAGAAAGCCCTTTGGCTGGAGATCGGTACACCTAAATTACACTGAAGTCACTGACTGTCAGAGGTTGCCATCGTGGAGTCAGCCAGCAAATAAATGATCCCTTCAAAGTCAATTGATCCCGGCTACACTCGCTACATTGTATCACATCCAAACTCCAAGAGAATAACCAGCAGCAAGTTTTGCCCAGACATTACATTCCACTGTAATGTGTAAATGGGAGCAATTAAAAACAGCCTCCAACGCATGAGTTCTAGCAGCCCATTAAAACTATGCACTATAATTTATCCTACATTTGTTGTGTTAAAGTAACCTGGTTTCTGTCGGCTTTCTGCAGGAACACGAAACATAATCATAAAACTTCATGTAAACAAGGAATGTAATTTCCTTAATTAAGGTGAGGGATTAAGAGAAACCTGCTTACCAAAGCAAATGCCTGCAGAATAAACTCCTGGTCACAAATAATACACATATATTTCTAACAGGGTTTTTATACAGATCAGCCATAACATTATGACCACCTGGACATCCTGGTGGTCATAATGTTATACAGCCCCACACACAACAAACTGTGATGCACTGTGTGTTCTGACAACTTTCTATCACAACCAGCATTAACTTTTTCATCAATGTGAGCTACAGTAGCTCGTCTGTTGGGCGGTACCCCACAAGAGCTGCAGTTTGCAGATGCTCTGATGCAGTCTTCTAGCCATCATGATTTGGCTAAAATCCTTATGCTGCCAATTTTTCCTGCTTCTAACACATCAACTTTGAGGGCAAAATGTCCAAGTACCATGATAACGAGATAATCAGTTATTCACCTCACCTGTCAGTGCTCATAAAGTTATGACTGATTGGTGTACATGTGTGCATATGGGAAGATTCCATTAAATTTCAGACTTCATTTCATTTTTCAAAAATTATTACTCAATTAGTCAATCTGGACTATCCTGGAATCTCCATTACAGACTGTTAGTAGTGCAGTTTCCGAGTGTGTGTGTGTGTGTGTGTGTGTGCAAAACAGTCAAACATTACCGGCCCTAGAGATATTTTCACACCTTAGATATCTGCATTTTATGGCTTGGTGATATTTTAAAGGCCCCCTTTATTGATCACTAGATTTAAACTTTAAGTTGCATTTGCACTATGGCCCTCTAAATAAATCAAATAATCAACTTATTCATTCCTAAATTTGTGCAACTAAAATCTCAACTCTGAACCAAAATAGATATGTTTAAAGGTCCAGTGTGTAACATTTATTAGCATCTATTGCCATAAATCGAATATGATATTCATAGGTATGTTTTCATTAGTTTATAATCATCTGAATATGGAAATTGTTGTGTTTTTTTTACCTTAGAATGAGCTGTTTTTATCTACAGACGCTGCTGGTGGCCTTCCATGGAGCCTGCCATGTCTCTACTGTAGCCTAGAAGGGAGTTTTGTGGTTACCGTAGTTTCTCCTACACATTTCACAACCCATTCTCATTCCCATGTCATCAAACGTAATTCAGACGTGAGCGGTATTCACTTAGTCGCAATCTGCAACTTCACCTCTAGATCCCACTTACTCTTACACACTAGTCCTTTAAATACGTTTGTTGTCTCAGCTAAACAGACTATAGAGTCTTTATCAGGATAGTCTCTATCTGAGCCACCAACAGTAATCACTAATACAAGTAAATTCCAGCCTTGTTTGACAAATATAGTAGGTGTTAGGGGATAAATTAGATGAATGTAAATGCAGGTTTGGCAGTAACCAGCTTACATTAATTTCCTACCTCATGTAAACACAGTGATTCACCCTCCCACATGCAGAACACTAATTTATTCTGCATTCATTCATTTGCTCACTCTGCCCCCAAAGTGTTCAGTCCCTGACTCATTTATGTACTTGATACAGTACTTACAGTTTCTGTTTCCTGGTAGTCAAGGTCAGTCATCCAGGCATGATCAGAGCACATTACACACAGTAATGAGTGCTAATTTTAAATAGCAGAACTGCAATATTAAAACCTCATTGTCATGCTTCACCAAACTTCATACTGGGTGACACTCAATAGGGGGCATCATCTTTTCAAATCAACACACATGTAACTCTGATTTGGCTAATTCATTACCAACAGAGGGGGAATATAGAGCAAATCGAGTGTGGATGAGAGAAGTGTAGAGCAGAAAGAGCAGGAACTGTTGAGAAGAAAGCAAGGGTGAATTTAGGAAGGAGTCGCCAGAGAACAAATAAATGTATGTAAAAATTATACTGGCTTTCAAATTGACTCCAGTGATGTGTGTCCATAAGTCCATAAGCACTTTCCGTTGTCAGTGCAGGTCTAGTAAAGGTTTACATTCACAGAAACATCCAAGAGGGAAATGTAGAGATGCAATCCAACACACCAACATCAACCCACCAACACTTTAAATGTCTGACTACCAGAGCATTGTAAGGTGGGGTCAGTTGTTCTGGAGAAAGTTGGTTGTTGAGTCTTATTCTCATGAGTTATGGTAAACTGGAAACAAACAAAGTGGGTCAGAGCGAGCCACACAAAATAGAAAATTTATACCCAATACATTTAATTTTTTATTACATTTAGAGCAACAACAATTTAGTCATTCTACGCTAGAATTGTACTCCCTGCAGTATGGGGAAGGCTTGAAAAGCACATTTCAACCTTCATGTTGGAAAATAAAATGTAGTGCTTTATTTAACTAAGCACTAGAATTTCTCTTGAAGTTTTCTTAAAACAAAAAAATATATATTCTGTTACTAATTCAGAGTTATAGTTTATTGTTATTTAAATTAGATTTGAGTTAGTTGAGTTTGTGAGCAGTTGTTGAATTCCAGAGGAAGAGACAACCACTCCATATAAATGCATTGCTCACTCAATAAACCACAAAATAAGAGAGTCCCTGGTGCAACACTTTATTGTCGTGAGATGATGACAATAATGTCTTGGGACTTGGCAAATAATGATTTATCAATAATTCAGACAGCCTCAAACGTATGGACATTGTATCATGGCCAATCACTCTGCTACATCTACTATTGTAAGTATAATTAACCTGAATTAGCTTTACTCTGTATTGATTTGCCATTTCCTTTCAGCCCTATCTTAGAGGAGGTCAGAATATTTTCAATCTTTGATCTTTGACCTTGTGGACGTGGTGTTTTCTTGACTTCCTGTAGTCCTTAAGGACCACTTTATTGCCACCTTAGATAACCTTTTGCTACCCAGGAGCGAAGACATGTTTGTGTTCTAAAGTACAGATTGATTTATTTACAAAAATAGTTTTAATTGGAGCCATAATGAGGTTGCATGAAGAGGAAGTCAAAGCTTTTAACCTCAAACGTAGTCATCGGCTGGGAAAAGTCACCAGGTGGTGTTTGTGTGTTTTGGATGAAAGGCACTGTGGTTCAACTTTATGCTGATGCTCACAGTTTCCACACCTGTGCTGACGTTGTGACTGTAATTACTAATGCAGTGTGTGTGTGTGTGTGTGTGTGTGTGTGTGTGTGTGCGTGCTTATACAAGTGTGTGTGCACACCGGCGTATCTCTATGTACGTATACCAAGAAACATCGTCAGGGTAGGCAAGCCTATTGGACATAAATCTCACAGCCTCCTGGATGTTTTGTCTTCCTTCAGTCCTCATGCATCACAGACATGAAACTCATTCTCTTTTCATGAGGTGGACTTTGCTCTGCTTCTAACACAAAGTAATGGAGGTCACCTCGGCAAGCTGCTCCACACTCATTACCTCCCTGCTAACAGCGTCTCCCAAACGGCCTGACAGAATATAAAATGGCTCTCCAAAAATGTCATTCCCCAGCTTTAATACTGACCACTCTACACCAAAGGTAGGGTTGACATTTCCTCACAACAGAGGAAGCGTTATTTTGAACCATTGCCTTTTACTCACTCTCATAGTCATGATGCTACATTGAGCTGAAGATTTATGAATGTCAGACGCTCTAAAGACCTCATAGGGACATTTCTGGATGGCTCTTGCAATCATTTTGGTGGAAAAGACAAGGATGATATTCCTGGTATTACAGAAATTTGTCTTTCAGACAACCACATACTGTAAAATCACCCTATAGTCATACTACTACTACAGTCATCCCATAATATATAAATTATATATGAATTAATTTAGACAGATGAGATTATGGGTGATTTTATAGTATATGGTTGTCTAATAGTAAATTGCAGGTGTATTTATTAAAAATCATGTAACTATAAGAAGAAGAATAAAAGAATAATGGATACTATACTTATAGGACAGGAAATAAAGAGAAAGAGGTGCAAAAAAGGTAACTGATAAAAGTTATTATCTTGTTTGCTCAAGATAATAACGTTAATAACTTGTGTGCACAAGATAATTATCTTGTTTGCACAAGATAAAAAATATCACCTTACGGGCCTTTAGGGGCTCCGTACATAAGCCACATAAAGCATTGCACAGCGACCGTACATCTCTCTCTGGCCAGTCTGTACCATCAAACTTTTGATTTGCAGACCATTTCTGGTACAGTTCCAGTGGAAAAAAAACGGCTCAGTGGGCACTGAAGAAGAAATACTGAAATGACAAAAAAAGACAAAGAAAGGCTTAAGATAGCAAAAGAAAGAAAAAGATTGTGACAGTAAGCCAGCAGGAAATTGTGAATGCTAGACAAAGAGAGAAGAGAAAGCAAAGAAATTAAACGAGAAGGAGATGAGCAATTGGAGAAACAACGAATAAGTGACAGATGGAAAAGCGTAGCAAAACTGGTGAGTACTGACAGGGTTTCCATAAAGCCAGTAAAACATGGGTCTCCAGGGAGTGGTGCAGGCAGCGATAAAGAGTCTCTGAGCCTGGGTGGCTGGATCAGGATCGCAGCCATGCAGGGGCAGACAGGATCACCATCACTCATTCTTCCTTCACATCCCATAATGTCCACTAATGTTGCCCTATCTGTCACTGTGTAACGTTGGTCACACTGCTGTAAATACATGAGAAAGAGCAGTCCAAAGTACCTGACCTTACGTTAAGTAAGAAGGATTTGTCTTGGTGATTTTGCCAGATGTGTTACTTATGGAATAGGAAGTGAATAACTAAACAGATTTTTTTTAGCTATTTGGGGGTGGTGCAACAAGTTGCAAACAAAAGTTGTTATCTGTTTCTGTCACCTGATGAATGTAAGTCCAATATTCACACTCCTTTTAGCTTTTGTTTGGTCTAAACCAGTTTCTGAGAAGAATTAACTGGCTCTATAGCAGCTAAATGCTGGTACTATGTGAGCCGGCTAGTTGCTAACTTTGTCTGCCTCATAATAGTGTTGGACAGGTAGTGAACAGAGGGTGTATCAGAGCTTTATCACTTAAAACACTGCCTATGTTCAGAAAGGATGCTAATTAAAGTGGTGTGAGTGAACCAAAACCGTAAAGCTGTGGGCTATAAATCCAAAACAATGAGCTGAAATTAGCTCAAATTTCCATAAAGCTGAGGGCAACTGCAGAGTCAGGTGATAATTTTATGTGGGGTTGGAATTACCCTTGTAAGTGTGCCCCTTCCCATTACACATTGTCATTTGACCTATTGTTCATATAAACATATTGATTAGCAGCTTTAACCTAATGGAGTTCTGCCTACTGGGGCAAAACTGTTTCATAATAAAAAAGAACTGTAGAACATAAAAGCCCATACCTTCCTTTTCTTGCTTATTGTACTGTATATTTGATGTGATATATCATATGACCTGAATTTGTATCACATGACAACACAGCACTGTAGCACTGTAACAGTTTATTAAGCCGACAAAATATTCTAAAGATTACAAAACATTTAGTCAGCCATGAACATTTATACCTAAAATTAACTTTTGTAAGACATTATATGGTGTGTAATGTAACATACAGCACATCTGCCTTAATTTTTCAGATTAATTTCCATAGAAACCTAAAATGCTCTGCAGGAAACCTCCTCAGTCTTGTTGCCTTTGCTGCCTCCATAAATCATACAATGTTTACTTTCTGACAGGCCGTGTACAGTTAAGGTGTTCCGTCCAGTCCCAAACCAATAAACCCAGAAGCACCGGGGAATGGTAGCTCACATAATGAGAAGCATTTTTGGTTTGTATCATTTCTTCGCATTAGGTGGAAGCAGCCACGGACTCTGAATCTGAAAGCAAAGGCTTGCGGGAGTACCACTCTGTTGGGATCCAGGTGGAGGACAACAAGAAAGGGTAAGATAATAGCTCTGGGATTTTAAGCTCATTAGAAAAAACCTCAATCTTCAATATTTGCTTTCACTATTATGAACAATAGTCCCATTGTCTCTGCCCTTATTTGGCCTGTGTGTGTGTGTGTGTATTTGTGTCTTTCTACTTCAGACAGGGCAGGTTCAAACGCTCAAACAGTGTGACTGCAGCTGTGCAGGCTGACATGGAGTTGGAGGGCTTCCCCATCATGGAGGACAAGGGCCTGCAGTTCGGCGGGGGGTTCCAGCGTCACTCAGAGCCCAGCACGCCCACCCAGTACGGGGCAGTGCGAACCGTACGTACCCAGGGGCTCTTCAGCTACCGTGAGGATTACCGTACCCCTGCTGAACCCCCCAGCCCCAGGGAGACCACCAGCGAGAACACTTGGCAGCTGGAACCCCCTTCCCCACGGGAGAACACGGCCTCATCAGGCGAGTCGGGCAGGGCATCCCCCTCCCTGAGGAGGGACGGGAGCTGGTTCATGCAACTGCTCCACACGGAGACCAAGAGGATTGAGGGCTGGTGTAAGGAGATGGAGGCAGAAGCTGAAGAGAATGACCTGTCAGAGGAAAGTGAGTGTTATGCTGAAAGCTCCTTTTGTGCAGGCAGATTGAACGATGACATTTTTTTAATGCACTGCACTGAATGTGTGGTACTCTACTGTATGTGTTGTATTTGATATTCTATGTGTGTTTCAGTCCTAGGTAAAATCCGGAGTGCAGTGGGAAGCGCTCAGCTGCTCATGTCTCAGAAATTCCAGCAATTCTACTGGCTGTGTCAGCAAAACCTGGTAAGAACCCTTTCAAAGAAAGGGGTGTGTGTGTGTGTGTGTGTGTGTGTGCGTGTGTGTCTGTGTGTATGTGTGTGTGTTCTAAGATTTTTCTGAATCAATTCGTCCTCCTAACTACATTTTTCATTGTCCTTCATGCTAACACTATCCATGACATTCACTGACAATTAGGGACAGTAAGTCTTAATGCAGCATGCATAATTTGTGTATGATTACCCATGAGCGGCAAAACATACACCAAAAAGAAAACAGTGGAAAGAAGTTTACAAAGGAATAAAGGTGGGAGAAATAGACCAGCTGCCATTTTCATTATTCAAACCAATATATTATACACTTTTGTCATATTGCAGTATATAAATCATTTCTCAGTCTTAGTAGGAAAGTCAAATTTTCTTATGGCAACACAGACAAACTTAACATTCATATCACATGTTGCTCAGCTCCACTTTTGTAGCTCCAGATCAGAATTTAAATCATGAGACTCTATTCAGCGTGTTCCTATATGCTCAAAAACATCAAATGAGTATGATGCTGCTGTGTAGTGCACAAAGCATACACAGGCTGCGCGGTGAAATTAACTTTTATCATTAGAAACAGTTCGACACTCCTTTATGTGTTCTCACAACCTTTGTTCTCGAACCTTCAATGCACACATTTAATGATTTAGCCGGCACTAACTAACTGAATCAAAGCTCCCTGAATATCATTGATTGTGGAAAGCTACAACACTGAGAATCAATACCTATCCAGCACATTTATATGTGACCTGAATGTTTTCAAATGAACAGTACACAAGCGTGGATGGGTGTGTGTTCAGTGATGCAACTTTGTCCTGAGAAGAGAAGAACAGAAGCCTGAGCCAAACCTGGGTTCATACAGATCTAAATATCCAGACACCAGCCGTTCTATTGCTCATCCAGTGCAGGAACACACACAGGGTCAGGGATTTCTGCCTCATATTTTTCTTGCACTGTTCACAACTCATTTTATTGATCTGAGCCAAGTACCCAATATCTCAAATGAAGTTGGTGCGGAGTTATGAGACATAGTGTTGCTGTTTTTTGCAATGTGCAGCAGAAACCGCTAATTCAGGGGGAGTGGGAGTTGCACAGGGATTAGATACTGTGAACCAGATTTTTAGATCAAGTCAAGTATTACTTTGTCCCACTGAAGGACACCGTGTCATGCAAGTTTACTCAACATTTTTATTCGAAAAACCTACAGCATTTCTCCACATGAAGAATGGAACAATATTCACTTCACACTTGGTGAAATAAATGCCCACAAATTAGAAGCTTAAAGATATGTCTAATTGTGCTAATCAATCTGCTTCTCTCTACCTCATGGATCAACTTTCATAAAACTTGACTTAAAAATGCTCTAAAAGAGAGACAAACAGTGTGCATGGAGCACTTCTCTGGGAGGAGCTCCAGGATTAAAAGCAAACACTGACACAGCTGAGGCTTAAAACTCACTGACTCCTCCTAAATCTGCCAGCTCGAGATAGTTGAAGCCATAAGACTTCTGAGACAGTTTGCAGAACATCACAAGTTCAAGGGTCAGAATAAAGCTGATGAAGTGCTGTGGCACTCCCTCTGTAATTACAGATAGCAGAAGTGTGTTCTGTTCACAGCTTACCTTACATGATGGATACAGTGATATTTGAAATGTGGAGTAATTTGGATACATTCTTTTGCTGTACAAAAGAGCATTATACTAATCTCATAATACTTTACAAATATCAAAGCAAAACTTACTACTCTCTATTGGAATATTATGCAAATTTAGAGGATTTGAGTCATGTCATATGAGATTTAAAAAAAAATACCCATCCAGTAAAATAAGGTTACTGTAAACTTAAATCTCTGTATCACTGGCACAATTTTAAAAAACTGATCCAATTTGGCTAAAGTCATCTGATGGACTGTAATTTAAGGAAAGAACCGAATATAATGTTTGCTTTTCATTCAAATTTTGAGCTTGTTTTTTGTGATGCCTTAAGATTTTGTTGTGTTTAAAGTGAAAATGATATATTTCTTCTTAAAACATGTGGCAGGGCATAATGCCACATTCCAATGCAGAAAGAACCACTGCAAACGGTTATCATTTATGTAAATTATGTAACGAATCACCCACGACTGTAGCATAGAGAATACCAGGCGCTGCCAACATATTGTAAATCTATTGGACCATCCAACAGCAGCACTCTTCACCAGCCACCTAATCTAAATGTCACAAGATTTAGAGTGTAAGTGTGGGAATGTCTCTGGGGTTATTGAGTCGACACATCCCATCACATGTATTGTTCAAGTAGGTCTGCGATTTCTGAAATCCAGGATCTGATGCAGCTTAAGTTGCTGATTCTGCTGCATTCTGAGACAGACTGGAAGAAATCTGAAACAGCAGGTTGACTCAAACTCAAGTACAATTAGTTTCATTTATAACCACAGCATTTTGTGCAAGAACATCATACAATATGTGAATTGGAAGAGATAATGGAAAGGAGGACATGGGCCTGCAGACTCCAAGTCCACAGAGGTCTGACAGGTTTTCTTAACATTTATCTGGAACACATGAAAACCTTTGTAATGAACAGTTTCCCCAGTGCTCATTTTCTTAATTATAGTGCTAGAAAAGTGCTTCCATTCAAGTATTCAACATTGCGTCTTAAACGTCCATAGTGCATACAGTAAGGAAACCCATGACCTTGATATTATTAGCACCTTGTTGTGTAAAAATGGTGAAGATAGACAGGAAAGGAGAGACGGGGCGGGCGACATGCAGCATAGGGCCGCAGGTTGGAATCAAACCCGGGCCGCTGTGGTAAGGACTCTATATGGGGCGTGCGCTCTACCAGTTGAGCTATTGTGCGCTCTAGAGAACCAATTTCTAATTGAATTTCTGCACTGGACTTTTAATAGTTTAACAGTTTCCCCAGTGGTCATTTTCTTAATTATAGTGGAAAAAGTGCTCTCATTCATGTATTCAACATTGTCTCTTAAATGTCCATAGTCCATACAGAAAAGAAACCCATTACCTTGATATTATTAGCATCATGTTGTATAAAAATGGTCCTGAATAAATTGTGGTGTGTATGGAGCTCCTTGTATGACGAGGCCATTGTTGAGACAACACTGTCTTCCACAAAGGTATTATACTATAGACCAGTTGTTTTCTGCTCAGAGAACCAATTTCTGATTGAATTTCTGCACTAGACTTTTGATAATTAAAAGTGAAATTAAATTCAAATCTGTAATTATGATTAATGATAGGCACACATTCAGTTCAAGATCATTTCCACAAATCAGCGTTTTTTTGTCATGTTACAGCCACACACAGATTAAACACAAAGCAAAGATTGCGCAGATTTAATATTAAATGTTGAGATATTAATAGTTGCAATCTTTGTTTTAGAATATAATGTGAATCACTGACCTTGTTTTCCACAGCAAATGTTTTGGACTACAAAGTTTCACGCCATTATTACGGTTTTCTAAACATTGTGTTGACCATGTGTCTCATAAACTTTGTTTCCTTGAGAGAGCTACTTGGTAACATACGGTATGTGTGTCATAGTTCATGTATTTTTACTGAGTCATCACGCTTAACATTTGCTGTCTGCGTTTCTGCGTGTATTATAGTAACAAAACAGCTCATGTGTTTTCTTTTCATGCATCTCTGTTCGTATCCATGAATGTTTGTCTTATAAACAATGAACATGTGGCCAGGGGAGACAAAATTAATGGAAAAAAAGATGTATTTATGGATTCATACATTTGATATGACCTCAAAATTCTATTATTAACATCAAGTATTACCACAGAATCGCATGACTCATTAAAACCTGCAGCAACTGCGGGGCCAGTTACAGAGACAATGAGGCGCTCCTCAAGCTGATGTTTCTTTCATGTCAGGAAGTGATGAAAAGGACTGAACTGACAAAGGCAGCTATTATTTCTGAGCTCATTCATGGAAATAAGACAGGATTGTTCTCTATAACAAGTTATCAGTCATTTCAGCCAAAATCCCTCAAACTCGTATTCATGTCTGTTTTGAGTCTGATAAGGACATCTAGTGGATCTAAGCTGAAGTACAGTAAGTAGTCACCACAGACATTAATATTACCTTTATTGTAACTCCTTCCACCTGCGTCCCTCGTAGGACCCCAGTGCCATGCCGCGGCCCACCTCTCAGGACCTGGCTGGGTTCTGGGACCTACTGCAGCTCTCCATCGACGACGTCACCGTGAAGTTTGACCAGCTGCAGCAGATCAAGAACAACAACTGGAGGCCCATAGACAGCCCAGAGAAGAAGGTGAGGGATCGCCTTGGTACTAAACAAAGACATTAGACATCATATGTCACTGCTTTTTTGGTTGCATGTATTTTGTATAATTATTACACTTAATTATTCTCTCTTCTTCCTAAAGCCACCAGCTCCCGTACCAAAGAAGACAGTTCGACAGAAGAGTGTGATAACGAGGGAGAAATCCCTGGACCTCCCAGACAGGCACCGGCAGGAGGCCCGTCGGCGGCTCATGGCCGCCAAGCGGGCAGCCTCCTTCCGGCAGAACTCAGCCTCGGAGCGAGCAGACAGCATTGAGATCTATATTCCTGAGGCTCAGACTAGACTTTGAGAAAATAGGGTCCGGGGCCGACACGTCTCCCTGCTCCCACATTAAAACAACTTTAAAACTAGCCTTTTTTCTAGACTACTATTCTCTCTACTCTTCCTTTATCCATCTGTTGTCTGATCTCAATAGCCATCCTCAGTGCCCATCGCCAACACCATTGGTCTGTAGGATGTGCCAAGCCTCTTCTCCCATTGCCAGAATAAGTGTTAGCAGAAATGTATGTCTGACATGGGTCGGTTGGGTTTCTCCTTGGTTTGCTGGTGATCATGATACCCAGCCTACAAGCTCTCTCATCCAATGTCCTGGATGGGTACGTCTGTAGTTTTTCAGCATTTGCAAAGTGCCATTTAAAAAGTGCAGCTTTGAAAACCTACCAGCAACCAGGCCTCTGAGCTAAAAAGAGTAAATGAGAGAAAAATTATATTTATTTCAAGTTGTTCAAATATGGTCAAAGTTAGTAACCCTTCAGTATTTTTCAATAATTTAAGGTGACATTATGATTATACTTTTTGTTTCTCTGGTCTTTTTTGGAGTAAATGTTAATTACAAGCTAAATATCACAAATTGTTGTGAGTTTAAAACTTTTAAAAGTGCCAATGCTTGAAATACCTCAACTATGTGCATGTGGCACTGATCACCCATTCAAGGTTATTCAGGCAGCCCTTATAAGCTCTGGACTGGTCAGTGTTGAAAAATGCAGCTTTCTACCCAATCTGGTTGTAGTCAAACATTTTTCTTGGTCTGGATTGGTGGAAGAATGACATCTGTCAGCTCATTAACATGCACATTTCAAACAACTTCCCTATATATCTCATGTTCCTGTTCCAACTTTCAAATATTGACATTTACTTGAAGCTGAAAACATGCAAGTCTTGTGCCAACATTTTCATTATGTCAATGCAGTAGAAAAAAATGACAAGGTTTGTGTAACTCCTTAGATCAAAATGTGTAGACAAATGCACTTATGCACTTATTACAATTCTCTCTATTTCCAAGGGAAATGTACATACCCAAGTTCACAATAGTACTGTTGTATTTTTGAATTGTGAGCGGGAAGAATATTCATCGTGTATATCTTTTTTCCCTCATGTCTTGCTTGCCTGCCCTCTCAATTGCTATTGGCAAATCTAGGTTTGTTGCATCCACACAGTGGCTTGATCACACATGCAAAATCACACTGCTGTGTTTTCATCTAATATACTTCTCTCAGGCCCTTTCAAGTAGCGCCCTCAGCCACAGTTAATGAGGAGTGATAGAAAAACTGCCAAAACAAAAACAAAATATCTGCATACTAGTTTCTTTAGTCCAAGAAATAGCTTGTAATCTTCATATTTCTTGAAAAGTTATGCGTTGCTGGAAGCAGTATCATAACTACATTCACTCCCTCTAGGAAAGGCTGGAAAATAATGAAACAAAATTGGGGCATAGGCAATCCAGGGGGATGCAAGCAGCAAATCCCAAATAACTAAAACTTTCTTGCTGAAAGGAAATACATGAGGAATAGGGTATTAACTGTCTGTGGCTATGCAGACCACTGTGTGATATTTTGTCAAAATATGATGTGTTAGCTCAATATTATCATTTGCCTTTGATTCCCATCACAGTGTTCAGATGTACCAATTGCACCAGCTCTTCGTAACTTCAAACTTAGCCTACTAATAACTAGAGATCAATAAATTAAAATTGGTTGATCACACAAACTATTTCTGTGCTGTAGTTGTTGTACGTACGCACACTAAATGCCAGGTGTAACTGCAACCTAGTTAACTCAACCAACTGACACAACTAAAATTAGCTTGCTAATATATGACCTGTTTAGATTGAGGAGTGATAGAGTTAATATTGTATATGGCTGACATATCACCTGACACTTGATCAGAATAACGATATGCTAATGTAACACAGGCTAAATGACTAAATGTGTAAGTTAGTAAGTTAGTTACCATTGTGAACTGCATGAATAATGCTAACTCTCAAACACATATTTGTAATTTAAATTGCCTAATGCTTACTAGCTAAGTCATTTTTTAAAAAGTGTTTTGTGTAACCTGATTTAGTAAATCTCTAGTTTAAACTTCTATACAAATAATTTAGGAAGGACTTTACATAAAAACTGGATTTACGAATAGCTGGTGCAGCCCAATCATGGTACTGAATGTTACGTGAAACTAAAAAACTTAAAGTTATGGAGGCTTGGATACAAGTCTCCATTGGTCATAGAATTTACTTCCAGGTGGTTATAATTAGATTGCTCATGAAGGTAAACTCATCTTGAGCAAAAGACAAAATTCTGCTGCTCTTTGTTGTCAGACTTCAGTGCCAATATCTTGAACATCAGTCCTCATTGTATTGCCAATGTTATATTCAAATCACTGACCTAAAGACTTAAGTCTATTGGTAAAATCTTTGGATAATCAACCAACTAAATGGTGCTGCTTTTTATTTAACAAATACAGTACTAGACAAACAATCAATGCAACACAGTGTGCTGTCAGCTGATTGATACATCACTTAAAAATAATCTATTTTTATGACTTGAAATTTTTGGTTAAGTGATTGTGCCAGTATTTGTTATGGGTAGGTCCAGGGAGATTTGTCATATAGCAGTAACAACAAAGTACATTTCTCTGGAATTGAATATTTTGTGTATGTGTGTTTTGTGTGTGCATCTTGTTTTTGTAGCACAGTGCTGACATATTCAGAAAAGAGAGGGTGAATCTGGGGTCAGTGTGACTTGATTTCCCTATTACTACCCAACTGTGGCCTGACCTGCATCTCTCTTTCACACACAGATACACACACACACACAGACACATGTTGTCCCTATGTCATCAGCACTTTATTGGAACATATTTTAGATACCACAGCATAGCATATAATTTACTGTTGCATTTTTATCAAATACAATACAAGGCAGAGAGCTTAGACATTAAATTTCAGAGAGCTAAGAAGTATATTCAGTCTGACAAATAACCAAAGTCAGTTCAAACATGCAGTGCCATACTTCAATTACAGATCGGGCTTTTAATAGCCCCCAGCCAAGTGTTAGATTACACATTTCTTTAAAATCACCCATCTATAATTCTGCATTTTTTTCATTGCAGAGGCAGAGACCTTTAAGAGTACGACAGTGGGTTTCTGGAAAGCGTCTGGGCGTGTGATGCCAGGCAGTTGGCAGAGCAGAGACGTTCCCCTGCTGTTGCCACAGTGGCAGGCAGACGGGAGAGAGACAGACTCGGCCTGACATATGCTGGCTTAGAGGAGACGAGAGCTCCGCACTGAGCCCCAAACTGCTGGTGTTGTATGCTGTTGTGTAGCTGGAAGGCTGTTCTGTGAGAATCGCTAGGCGCTGTGCTGGGTATTTTTTAGCCTGCCTTTGACTAAGCAAAGCAGCTTATGTAAGATTTTGGGTCCTTGGTGAGATCAAGCAAACAGCCTCCAAGGCCCTTCAAAGCTTGTGTTGATAAATGTATTGCTGAATAGTGGCCTATACTGTAGAACTTAAGCATCAGCACTACACATATTTCTATCAGTCTGTGCTGGGCTAGTTTCACTGGAACAACAGGAGTTTCTCCCTTATGCAAATTGATCAGGGCTGTGGAAAAAAAAGTGTATCCTATATACTACCTTGGTACACTTTTAAGACTCATCTTTTGCTTCCCCAAGAGGCATGATTTGCATAATTGCAATGAGACCGTTTTCTGAGTTAAACCATGAACGGATAATTTTAAATAGAACAGTGGAATCAGTTACAGAAGTCACGTGGGAGCAGAAAATGTTGAAAAGGATTTGTGCAATAGAGACATAGACTTTAGTCAATTTACAGCTACAGTTAGAGGTAAGAAATGGGCTTCAAAGCTTGCAGAAATCATACATTTCGTTGGAGAGCTAGAACTGAAAAAATGTCTTGATTCTCCTATAAGAGTCTCTCAGAGCCATTTTCTAAACTATGAATAAAATATCTTAATATAAAAGCTGGGTCGAGTTTGTCGCCAAGTAAGAATCATTTTACGTCTATGAAAAATATTTATTTTTTACCTTTTCACACATTTGTTGTCCATTAAGGTTTAAACAGGCTCATAGACGAACAGCTGTGAGGGCCTCCTTACACAGTGTTCTTGTTGAAACTTATTTCAGTGGGTGTTTTATGTTGGATTGCTTTGGCAGACGTACACTTGTGTGGTGTGCATGTGCTGTGAGCATTGGAGGATTCCTCACTTGTCTGAAAGTAACTGTGGTAATTATTCAGTTTTGAAAAAAAATATGGTGAATTTAACAGTCACCCACCAAACCTTTGTGCAAACCCCAAGGGCAGAACATTGCACCAGTGTCACATTAAATGTCATGAGGGCAGCAATTAACTACAAGTGCCATCTTTTTGACCTATCCAGCATACTGTAAAATCATTACTCTGCACAGCCAAATCTCCATCAACTTCACGTAAGCAAACCATTCCTGCCATCGCCTACCTTTTCCCATTTCCAGTCACATATTTACATCACGTCAGCTCGCGTCTCGACATCTGTGGCCTCACTTCTGGTACGACTGTCTATCTGCTTTTAACTCTAGAATCCATCATGTGAAATATTTCAAGGGGACTTTTTCGTAACCATGCTGTGGAAAGAGCGTCAGCCTCACTGAGATAGACTGATACAACACTTCCTTGAACTTGGAATGTGAAACCACTCTATAATTACTAGATAAAATTAAAAAGGTAGTTGTTTAGCTAAAACTATTTTCATCTCTTGTATATCATATCTATAGTGAGGATGAATATAATGCCAAATATTCATTATTTGTAAAGAAATATATATAGATATATAAATATATAATATATGCTTCATTGAAACATAACTATTTTCTGCATTTGCTCATGTTTTGTTGTCATTTTTACTTTGTTATGGTTATTTTATAAGCTGATATGACGGCATGCGAAATACTGATTCTGAATGTAGACTTATTTATTTAATTTTTTGGTTTAAGATTTTGACACTGTCCCACTGATGTGTTATGTATTTATTTAAGTCAATCACATATGCATTTCTCAATGTGTTATTTCAGAGCAAGTTACCGTATCATTGGGTTATTTTTTTGATTATTTTAGTAGTTTGCAACAACATATGCATTTTCGTCCATTCTTTCCTAGCTGAGCTATTGAAAGATTTTGCCTCTTTGAGTAGTTTGATCATTGCTGAGGTCATCCAGTGTAAATAGTTCTGCAATTAAATTTTTGGAGAAAAAGTTTGGAAAAGTTTTGTCTGTGTGGCTCCTTTTTACTTTGAAAAATCAAACTGCAGACTTAGTAATACTCTCTAAACCAATTTCCCTCCGGGGATAAAGAAAGTATTTCTGATTCTGATTCTGATTACTACTGTGCCAATTATTGATGCCAAATATTAATATTAGCAGACTATTATGAATTGATATTTAAGAGAGATTTTATTTCATATTGTCAGCTACCAAACTAGATTATACAGTCATTCAATGCTGTCCTAATTACAACGTTATTCCCAGTGGTAGCATTTTAGCTCGCAGGTGGAATTTACTAAACTGTTCTTGCTATTTCATGCATTTTATGTCTGTATGCAGGCTGCTAACCAAAATAGCAATGAGATAAAGTTGAAGGCGTAGCTCTGAATCATCTGTCAAAGAAATGGTGCATTTAACTTTTACTGTTCTTGTGAGTCAGGACACTCACCAGCGATCTGGCATTTTATCATTGGTAGACTATAGTAACACTTAATAAGAAATTTAAAAAATATATATCACTTAATATTTCATAGAGTCACCAAAACTGAGTAAGTTCACTTTGACTGTGATCCCTTAAAACAGATCCAAATTTTAAATTCACATAACAGTTATCATTGTAAGTATTCATATCCGATCCTTCAAATCAAAAACAATATTGTTCAAAGACATTTTATTTGGATAAAGACACACTACAGAGATTAAAATCTGACATGATGTTTGTCCAAGAGGAATTCTCAGAGAAGATGCATATACAAAATATGGTAAATGGTTGTAGATCAAGACATGTTGACATGAAAATTGTTTGTTTTTGATAATAGAATATGTTTCATGATCATAATAACAGGTTTAGCATACATGCTACTGCAATGTTATTCTCCATTATTCTCCAGGTCCAAAACAAAACAACAGCACATTTCATGCACTGTAGCTATGCTGATTTTACTGGCAGCATTGCCCTATTTGGTGTAATAGACAAATGTCGAACATTAATTTTAATGCAGATTTTCTTTCACTGCAGCTTTTTTCTGTGTCCTAAATACCCATTTTAAGAATGATATCCATTAACCATAACCCTCTCAATGTAAGAATGTGATTGCTACAATGCATGAGGACAATGCATTGTCCTGTTTGGGTTGATGTGAATTTTTTTGGAGATATCATAAAAAACTTAAGCTATTAGCTATTCAAAAACTAGGGTTAGGGGTTATACCCAAAGATCTATAGAACTCTATACTCTACTCTTATAGAACCCTATACATATTGTCAATGAGCTCAACTTAAACCTCTTGCCCTCTCTTATACAATCACATATACAGGGCAAGATTACCCCCTGTTGGACAAAGAAAGAAATTCATGACTTGTTAAATTAACAGATATTACAGATTCCTCAGTACACCTTTCTTCCTTTATTAACAAAAACGACTAAAATTGATCTAAAATGATGTAATTTATCCAAAATGGTACATCAAACACAACAGCTGACTCTCTTGAAGACTTTTTACTATTCATCCAAGAGGTTTCATCAGTTCTGACTACCACCAGTGAGCGATGTCGTCAAGACTTATAGATAGATATAGATATTCAGCGGCTTGAAAGACTGTGAAACCTTATGAACATATAACCCTGATTATTGCTGTTGTGGAAGTGAAATGCTATAACTGACTAGCACACCTGAGTAGTACCTCAGTATCCTAGTCTCACTGGTATAGCAGCTCCTGCAGTCCAGATGCTGCATGGTGTGGGAAGAGGTTGTGCGGCTAAGATGGGGAATCAAGTCAAACCCCAAGCCCTATCACATCACAGCAGGAAGGACCTGGGTTGTGTGGAGTCTGCGTGTTGTTCTCGTGTCTCTGTGGATTTCCTCCAACGGTTCTGTTATTATCTGTCTGTGTGAATGTGTGTTATCACTATGGCGACCTGCCCAGGGTGCACCTTGCTTATCACCCTTCTTCCCAGTGCATGTAGGGGTAAGCATGTAACCACATATACTATAAAAATCAAATTAAATGATAAATTAGTATCCCTTCCATATCTATTAAAACATTTATATTTACATTGTATTAAAACAGCTCTATATAATCATATTTGTGCAATATGTAGATGAATACAACTTTAATATATGTAACACATATAATAGTATATTTCCCTCATACCATACACATTTCCTTACAAGGCAAAACAACTACATTAACTGTGAGGTTGGTTTACTAACCAGGCTACATCATCTGGGAAATAACCAATAGGATGGGCTGCTGCCACAGCGCAGAGCGGCGTTGACCAATGGGATGTCCGGAGGTTTAAAGTGGGCGTCACTTCCGGTTTGCAGGTCATATGACCAAATTGAAGTCGTATGATGTGAATTGTTCCTGTTGTAGCCTTCACTAATGGCACCGGGACACCGTGTTCAGTGGAAACACTTCACTGCGGTATGTGTGACGAGGATGTTCACCAGTTTATGAGTAATAGTAGCCGCTGCTTTACACTCCCTAGTGTTTGTCTGCTTTGTTTGTCTGCTCCACATTTCGTCGTCGGGGTTGTTTTTGTGCTTACTTTACAACAGTTACTGTGGGTTGAGGTTCCTTTTGACTCATCGTGTTCTTTAAGAACTTGACTGTGAAAGCTTAAATGCATAAAACGAAGCTTTTTATTCACTATCGAACTGGCTATCTTGTTTTTAAACCGCGTTACAACAGGAGAAGTGTTTGAGGTCCAGGCTAAAGGTCCTACAAAAGTTGGGAAAAGTCGTGTACAGAATTGAACGGGTGACTAATGGCGATAGTCGTGTGTGTCATCGGTGTTTAGTGGATGATGTGCTGCCTGTCTTTTCCTCTGCAGCTTTTGTAGGTGACCCACACACCATGCATCTACCAGGCCCTGCTTACAGCCCCACCTGCAGCTGAGCCTCCCCTCACCTCACCTCCCTGAGACACCATGGATCCGGTGCAGCAGGCCAGCCCTCCTCCCCAGCCCAGTGCAGAATATTTCTCCTGGGACTACCGACTCCATCTCATTTGCCTGGGCTTTGCATTCTATGCAGCAGTATTCCTCATCTCCCACCTCCTGTCTGTGACTGTGTCCCGCACCTACAACTCCCTGCTCGCTAAGGAGAAGGTTTTCTGGAACCTCGCAGCAACTCGGGCAGTGTTTGGCATCCAGAGCTCCCTAGCAGGTCTCCGGGCCCTGACCGAGGAATCTGAGTTAACCAGAGACCGAGTGCAGGGACAGGAGGACTGGTCGTGGTTCACTGTGCTCACAGCCACAGGTTTCTTTGTGTTTGAGAATGTAGCACTTCACTCCTCCAGTGTGGTATTTCGGTCGTTTGACCTCCCGCTGGCGACGCACCATTTCTTCGCCCTGTCGGGATATGCAGGGGCGGTGGTGTGGGATTCCCTGGGCCACTTCCTGCCGATGGTCACGCTGCTCTTGGAGATGAGCACGCCATTCACCTGTATATCCTGGATCTTACTGAAGGTAGGCGTCCTAAAATGTCCTTGTGATGAGTTAAAATATCTGTAATCTCTGCTCTATACATATCTTACTCATGGTTTCCTTCCTTCATCACATTCGAGCAGCGCTTACAGTTACCCAATGATGTTCGGTTTGTGCAGTGAACCAAGGGCTCTAGTTGCATCTCGTGCTGATAGCTGTTTATCATTTTCTTACAGATTTGTCAGCTATCGTAAACATTACTGAAAGTGCAACCAGGTTTCAGTTCCTCTTTGGTCTTGTGCACCTTTATTATTCAACAGATAAAGTTTGCATTCTTAGAAAGAGGAAGTTCTATAAATGCATCATTGAGTCTGAACTTTCCTTCTACCTGCAGATTTGACTCGAGTACACACAAAGTTACAAAGATGTTTATTGTGATATTATTGTAAAATGGTAAAAAGCAAGACATTGGTGTCAATCTTCCTCTTCCTCCCTGACAGGCTGGCTGGTCACGCACCCTGTTTTGGAGAGCCAACCAGTGGGTGATGATCCACACGTTCCACTGTCGCATGGTGCTCACCTACTACATGTGGTGGGTAGCCTTGACCAACTGGAGAGAGCTTAGCGCCCACGTGGCCCTGCCCCAGCTTCTGCTTTTCTTCACTGGCCTCGCTCTGCTCACGTTCATCATCAACCCCATCTGGACGCACAAGAAGACCATGCAGCTGCTTAACCCCGTGGACTGGAACTTTGGTAACAAGCCGGCACCCCTAAATGGCGCCATGCCGCCTCAGTCAGAGGTTTCTGTCAAACCCCACGCCAGCTGAGGTCATCTCTTGTCTGAATGGTGCCATATTTTCTTCTATTTTAATGGATGGGTGAAGTCACTGTGAGAGTGTCAGTGATGACACTAAGATGTGTGTTTTTAAACTTTATTCTTCTTTTTTTTTACACTATAAGTAGACTTAAAAAGCCCCGAAAGGTTCGACATGACTACTTTCTTGATAAAGTTTGTTCCGGTGTTTTCCCTCAGGCTTTACTGTCAGGCAGTTTTCATTTGAATAAGAATATTAATTTTCCATCTGGTTAGCTTGGCTTCTAATATGTAGAGGCAGTGGAAAGGGGCCCTGCTTCTTTCCATCACCTTCCAGACACTGTTGTGAATTATCCACTTAACCAGTCATGTGATTGGTTATTTAATTGTGAGACAACAACAAGAGACAACATTAAAGGGCACGAACTTACTAATTAAAATCTTGTCTATCAGAAAATTCAGCTTCTAGAATTTCAAAGAAGAAGAAGTTTAAAGAAAACACAACAAAATGTAAAATAATACTGTGCAGTACTTAAAATACAGTATTTAAAGATTTACATACTAAAATGATTGAGAT